TAGCTGTGAAGAGAATGCTGCTGATTTACAAAAAAGATTTAGATCATTTAGTGAGTTGGGCAAATGGGTTTTAATTATAATAAATGCAAGATAATGCACGTGAGTTATCATAATTTAAATTATAAGTACAATTTGGATGGGAAAAAACCTTAACATTGTCATGAAAGGAAGGGATCTTGGTGTTATAGTTCATCAGTCTCTAAAGCCATCCAAGCAGTGTGCTGTTGCTAGTGGTAGGGAAACAGGATTTTAGGCTGTATCTATAGAAATATTGAATACAAGTCTTAAAAGATTATACTTTCATTGCATAGGTCACTGGCTAGGCCACATTTGGAATATTGTGTTCAGTCTTGGGCTCCTTACCTCAGGAAGGACCTTGAATTGTTGGAAAGAGTTCAAAGGAGGGTTACTAGAGTGGTGCCTAGGATGGAGGGGTTGAAATCTCTCAAATTGTTTACTCTTGTAAAGAAAGAAGAGTTAGATTATAAGGGATCTGATTGAAGATTTTAAGACTGTAAAGAGAATTGATAGTGTTGATGCATCATCTTTTTTCATACTTAACAGTGAGAATAGTAGGATACAAGGGGATACAAGTATAAATTTTGGCAGGGTATGAGTCATCTTCAGCTAAGACAGCTTTATTTTTCTAACAGGGTGGTTGGCCTTTGGATGTTGTAAAGGGAGTAAATTTAAGTGAGTTTAAGAGAAAGCTTGATAAGTATATGAATGATAAGGGCTGGCTGCAAGATATTTTTTAAATTTATTTATTAATAGTTTTAGTTTAGTTTAGAGGATGGAATAGCCAAGATGGACCATGTTGTACCAAAACATTATGTTATGTTACAATTTTAAGAATTGTGGACAGGGGAGAGATATACAATACAACTTGTTTGAACTAAATGGCATTATTGTGTTACATTAATGATATCAGACAGCCAGAATCGTAACTACAATTGTAGGGAAATAAACGTAGGGGGCTCAATTATTTTTTATGTGTGTGTGGTGGTGGGGGCACTGATTTGCATAATAATGTAGTAAAGCGAATCAGATAATTGTAGTTTAAGACTCATAATTGGTAAGAGGGCCAAAAGCTGGCAAATAAAAGCATTTTAACATAGAGAAAATTCCATGTATAATTCTGTGTTCAAAGAGAGAATCAGACTAACCTTATAGCTGGCGAGGAGTTTCAGAAACATAGCTGGTGTAAAACGACTGCTTTCAGGGACATGTTCTTCATAAGCTTCACTCAAAGGTGTCTTAAATGGCAAGAATTTTTCTAAAAGGTAAAAAAAATAATTAAATAAGTAAAAGGACAAAGGTCTATCAGATGGGAATTGTGCTTACCTCATCCTACAAATTTTGGGAACCAAGAAAATAAAACAAGAAAACTGCTTTCAACTATCAATAGCTCAACCATAAAATTGTGATAATCCACACACCTTTTACATTAAATGTTCAAATTGCACCTTCATTCATTGTCCAATTTATTAATGACTGTCACATCATTATGAACACAGGCATAGAAGCTAGTCTTGTGTTATTTGTGTGTACACCACTCAAAGTTCTTAACATGCAAAACACAAGGAATACCAGTCTAGTATAACTCAGGTCACTCTGTCATATAATTTCCATAAAAAATATACAACTTACTTGAAACATGACAGAACTGAATTACTGCATGTAGATGGAGAAGACCATCCCCTTCACTACTGAACCACACATCATACAGTCTGACTTCAGATAGATGTTCTTGTGTTTATGATACCACTGGTAATTACCAAGTGTCAGTGATCCAAGACATTGTTAAGACTATTATGGAAAATGCAAAGCTACATTACCTATTTCAAACTTTCACCCATTTGGACCACATATTCAGGCTCTACAATCTACTGAAGGGCACATGTTGGATTGTTTCATTAGTTTAAGCTACCATTATGTGACAGAAGAATCAGCTTCTGTGTTTTCTATAAGAGCAGACCAATAACAGTTGAAAATGAATACAGTTTTCAGATAAAAGGAATATGCAAGATGGTAAACAACATTTTTACTAACTCTCAATGTGGCCAGGTCCAATCAAGGATGGAACCTCTTGAGAAGGATGGTAAAGTCCTTTGAAAGTGTTGTATTTTAACAAATTAGAAGAAAACTTGATGGCTTAAAATAAATGAGAGGTGGAGAAAATGATCCAAAGCATGATGTAGACCAGAAGCTCCAGGATGTTTATATTGTAAGACCTTTCAGCCGAAGATCATTGACCTGAAGCTTCCTGCTGATTGAACCATGTCCGCCAGCTGTGGAGGAAAGCATCCATGAAGATATGCAAATCCAGATGAGGGGAGGAAGCTGAACACCCGCCATTGTGTGGGCCTTGTCCAACCACCAATGCAGATCATCGACAAGGGAAGGAAGAAGGGAAATAGGAGCATCCAAGGGATCCCAGGTAAGATTCCATTGGTCACACAGATTCTACTGAAGAGGCCTCATAATCACTTGACGCAAGGGGATAAAGGTCTCTTTAGTAGACCACATTTCCAAAAGTGATATCATCTCGCGAGCAGTAACTGAAAGCTCCATCAAATGGGTCGAGGAGGAGAAGGTTGGGCCCATCTGAGATGAGTGTTGAAAAACAGACACCCAAGTGGATGAGATACTGGGTATATATAATGAGTGACTTCTCCAACTTGATTAACCAACCTACATGAGCTGCCTCTTAAAGAAAGAGATGAGTGTGATGGGCAGACTCCCGTTTGGTGCAAGCTAACTGAAGCCAATCGTCCATGTAATGGTGTAAGCACAACCCACGAGCATGCATATGTTGGAAAAAAAAGCCTTGACCACTTGACAAAAGACATACGGGGCCAAAACAAGCCTAAAGGGTAGGGTGAAAAACTGATACACTACCCCATGATGAACAAACCAAAGATAGTGCCTTGACCAAAGAGATATAGGAATATGTAGAGAAGCATTCAAGTCATCTACCTTGGTCATCCATAAACCTGGAGAAAAAGCCCAGCTGAGGGTGAGAAAATAATCCATGGAAAAGCGAGGTAAAACCAAAAATTAATTGAGAGAGGACAGATCGATCACAGTCCGCCAGTCCCCAGTTTTCTTGAGTACCACAAACACCTTGGAATAAAACTGGGAGAAGAATTAGGTACAGGTTTGATGGTTTTTTAGGAGAGAAGATTATGTACTACCTTGGACAGACCTCGACTGGTGGTAGTATCGCGAGGCAATGGAGAGGATATAGGTACCTGAGATAACAGATGAGGGGAAAGGAAGTGGATGACAAGTCCCTTGGATAATACCCATATAACCCAAAGATTGGTGGAAAAATCACACCATAGGGGAACAAAATTGGTCAGGCAAGCCCCTACTGAACTGGAACCCACAGGGTTGTAACAGTATAGTTAGCAATGTGTCCGTTTTTGTCGAATAATATGACGAATGGAGGAACTCTTAGAGGTAGGAACTGGGAAACGCTAGGAAGGTGCAGGATACAAAACAGTAATAGGGAATTGTCTAGGTTCAGAATGAGACAAACAACTAACCATAGGTAAATGGGTCGTTTGCTGTCTCACGGGTTCATACAGGATTCTAAAGTCTCAGTAATATCTCCATAAACAGACCATTGGAGAAAAGGGGCCATATGTAAGTACCAAAGATAAGTAGGTGGTAAGCAAATTTTGGACAATACAGCACCTCTCTCCAGGAGATCCCAACAAAGAAACCACATGTGTAAGGAAAGAGCCAAAAAAGACAAATGTGCTGATGTGGAGGCAAGCAGGGAGAGGGTATCCCTCGAAAACTCTCAGGATCTCAGTAGAGTGCCTTGTAAAGGAGGTGGATGGTGGACAAGTACCATAGGAGAGTTGATAGGGTAAGATGAAGGCAGGAAAACTGGGCATGGGATAATTGAGCAGGATGATCAGAGTCCACCCCCACATGGGCAAAAGCGATTCCAATTGTTGATAATCAAAAAATGGAAATTCAACTTAATGACAGGCTAAAGTAAACTTATCCAAAGCCTGTGCAGGGTGAGGCATGCTAGCGCCCTCATGCATCACAGATATAAAATGTTCTGCATGAACCCAAATATCTGGGGAAGGGGGAAACACAAAATACTGAGAGGATAGGGTATCATGTAACAAAGAAAGAAGAGGATTATAAGAAATCGGGAGAATTGATAAAAGAAGAACACACCTGAAAATTCATGTCTAATAGAGCTTTATTAAGCCTAGTTGATTCTGCAGTAGGGGCATAAGAAGACACAGCAAAATTAGGTGGAGGAAAAAGGCTGTCAAATTCCTCCTCATCCCAAACAGGTTCTAAGTGTTCAGGAGGAAAATGGACAACATTAGAAGAACAATCTCTTGTTGACTAAGAGTCCATAATTTCCTTAGTCGAGTTCCCCCCACCTGCAGCCTGTGTAAGTGTGCTTATAGCAGGTTACTACTTCCAAAGTGGTAACCTGGACTTCGGAATTCATAAGTAAAGATTAATATTCAAACACAACAGTGTTAGAATATATAAATGAAAAACTAGAAAAAAACGTAAGTTATCCTTATCAGCACTCACACTTAACTTTTTTTAGGGAGCTTGTTGGGCCCCCAAAACATGCATTTTGATAAGAATTTTACAGCAAATATTCATTCATTAGCTAACCAAGCTGCATTTTTTTGTTCAACTTAGGGCATGATGGTGGGTAAAACAAAATGAGCGGCCATACACAAACGTGATTGCTGATTGGTTGGATTGCTTTTGAATGAGAAAAACTAGATATTTTGGGTTTTTCGAGTAGGAATTAAATATTGAAATACAAGAATCACGAAGGTGATCAATTGTCGAAACAGAGAAACCATTACAACTGTAACTAAAGGGGGAGTGTATACATCTTTATCAATAGTAAAAGCTAATATTTCGTGATTTTAGACAAATGTAAAAAGTGACACATTGTAAGTGCTGAGATTTGACACCCATTCAATGAAAGCACATGTCTCGAGCCAGGAGGTAATAAATTTTAAACAATTCAACCAGCATGATGTGGGTCTTCTTTATCATAATGCATTTAAAGTTGTCATTTCTTTTTCTTTTTTTAAGGTGGGAAAGTTGATCGTTACATATGCAAGAAAGATACAATTAGGAGCATCTTTTAATAAGGTCAATTTAGAAAAAAAAATCTTTCAACAACTTGTTTGAAGATTCCCGTCTTTTTGAAAGAAAACCTTCAAACTCTGTCACTTTATTTGACCTTTGGTTGGAATACTTTCTTTGAATTAGAAAGTGGTTCAGTTCAAAATGTGTAAAGTGATAGCAAAAGTCTTTGAACTTATGGTTGAAGTGAATGATGAATTTAGGCAAGGAACCTCAACAATTTGTTTATCTCTCACAACAGATATATAACGTTATGTATCGATCATGTACAAGCCACAAAGTCAGTCCCCATTTTTTATGTTTCACTCATTCTAGTAAAAAATGGAAAAGAGATTTGAATTTTTTTTTTTGAATGGCATATTTATTGATCACTTCAACCATTTCAAATTTAATGAAGCTTCAAAGTACATTCTCTGTAGTCGTTACAATTTCTAAGATTAAACCGTCAATGATACTACACAATGACATAATCAACTTTACTGTACATAATTGTAATCGGGCCAATTGTGTGCTATAATTATCAGCAATCTGTGATTTCCGATTGTGACATGAGCAGTAAAACAGTTATATTATGTTGTTGTTTTTTATTTTTTGGTTAGTGCAGTCTGCAAAGTTGGATTCAAAAGTGTTTGCCTTAACAGTAAGGTAACTTCTCCAAACAACTTGCAAGTTTGCAATTCTTACTTGCCTGTTTTTGGAAAGTGTTGACAAAAAATAACTTTTATGTGTATCTTTCAAATGTGTGATCCTTGATACAGGCTTGTTGTCATATATAAAAAATTTAAAAGTAGCATTCTGATTTAAAACAGTAGCCACCTTTATGAAAGTTCAAATAATCACTATATTTAAACTTTTATAAATGAAATTTTGTATATCAATTCCATTACACTGATACAAAAAGTTTGATTATTGAAGAAAGTGATGGCTTGCTTATTAATGAAAGTGCATTTATTTTGAATACATGGGCATTTATAGTAACAACAGTTGTGAATATACATGACTGACGAGTGTTCGTAACTTTGGGAAGGTCCATTCACGGTTTGTCATTAGTTCTGCTAGGTTAAGAAACACTTAGATCAATTTATTTGGAATCAAACTTTTGATGGCTCTTTTGATTTTAAGGGGCCACACAGCAGACACTTGTTATGGGCCCACTGGGATTTTTTGGGGGCCATTGGCTCCAGGTCTCTGCTACTTTCGAGCCCTGCTTATGTTTGCTGAACATTTGAAAAATGAGGATAACAATTCTACTTTAGAAAAAAATTACAAATCAGTTCAATCAACATTTAAAAATTTTTTTCCAAAAATTCACTAAGTTTTTAAAAATCATGATTGAGGAGCACAATGAAAACCATCTTGATATGATCACTGCCAAATGAGAAGCGGTAGTTCAGTAGAATCGAATGGAGGGAATCACATGCGTCAGGAAGGTGTGTTGCAATCCTATTGGTGGAGAGTTGTCACATGATGATTTACATGCAAGATGCAGTTTAGCAACATTGATCACGGGAGCTCAAAACTTATAGCATGTAAAAACATTTTTGAATATAGAGGGCAGCACTGAATGAAAATATCTGTGATTGGAGTTATTGTATCGTATCAGAAATCCATGAGATCTGGTAACTGTAAGTAAAATGGATTATTTTAAGTCTTAGTAAAAATAAAGTTAGGATGTTTCTTTTACCACAAATTAGCAAAGAGCTGGTACATATATGTAACTTGCTTTGGTTAATATGCATTGTATGTACTTTAAAAAAAACATTTTATATGATCCAACAAAAAAAAGTCACAAATTATAGAATGCATAAATACATTGTGTTTTTTATATGTAACATAATGTTGCAACAATTTCTAATATCAGGCAGGTCCTTTTTGATTATTCAGTAAAAATAATGTAAAGTCCAGTCCAAGTGGTGGTAACAAAAATGACGTATTTCTTCAACTATAACATACAAGACCAACAAGCTATGGCCTAACTCACAAATAAAACCAAACAGTCACTTACTTGCAAGCTCTCCACTTTGTTGAAACACAAATTCAAACTTTACGGCACTGAACTAACTTACTAACTACCTAACTCACTAATCAACTCTGTATGATTAACTCAGTGATTGTTAAAGTTGGTATAAGTCAAATCCAGATACTCAGGAAATTTCTAGGCAATGCATGTACATCAGCACTACATCATGCCAAAATTTCCTCTAACAAACAATATAGAACATTTAAATCAAAACAGTAAAAATGTAATCTACAGTAAAAATGTAATGTACATTGAGAAAAAATGTATATTTACCTGCAATTAAAGCACCTTTACGAGGACATTCTAACCACCGAGGTGGAGGTCCTAAGTTGGAACTATTTTTCCTTTTGTATTCAGACATTGAAAATCTTTGTCTTTTAATCACCTGGATGATCTGACAAAGTAATGAAAGCATAGTTATATTACTGAATAAGCTCAAAATAAACATACAACAAAAAACTATAGTCTTTTAGAAATTACTTTTATCACTTTTAGCAACACTTCTTTATAACAAAATGCTTATTTGTTCAAACGTTTTTATAAATTTTATTTGATTTTAACTGATACATATACACCTCAGTTTAAAATAATGATTGTCATTTGACAAATTACCATTCAAAGCTGGAAAATGCAGGTGAAAGTTTCAAGAATTTGTAACAAACTTGCATGTTGATAGAAAAAGGTTCAGTGAAAACACAGAAATAGGTATTAAATGATGATAATACCATTAAATCTTTCAAGACTTTGGTGAATGAATATCTGCAGCTTAAGTATGGAGATCATACAAAATATTGGAAGTCAAATATGATACCGTGTGAGTGAAGGATGGTACAATACTCATAAAATGGATTCTTTTACACAACGTTTAAGTCAGTCAAAAGAATAAGGCTCACTTGCAATAGCAAATAAAAAGAGAAGTATGTAACATACAATATAATGTATTTCCAATCAAGCTTGTGGAAACAAATGCCTCAAATGTCATAAAATAACCAGTATAAAAATGGAAGCAGTAAAAAGTAGATCATTTGTTTCAATAATGTATTTTATATTCTATCATCTTAATATGTTTGCTGAAAAAGATATTATAGATTTCTGTCATTTCTTATACAAATCTTATTTTGTGAGCCTGTTGTGAATGTTTTCGTTTATATTTTACAATGAATATGAATAACTTACCATCAACAGCAGTATGTAATTTTACAAAAATCATTAATCGTTGTAAGTGGAAATGAGAAAACTGTTGCATACCTTTACAGGCATTTTCTGGAACAGATGTGGCTTAATGGTTAACATGCTGGGTGCTGGCAATAAATATGGTATTTGTGTGTATTTTGTGGTTATGTCTTCTTTTACACAGAAATCAATATTTATCTTAAATAGTGACCTTGGCCCTGGACATTTTAATACCAAAATCATAACCTGTGCAGATAGATTAATATGTGCCATTTAGAACTCTAGTTATTCTGTAGAAACCCAAGTTTCTCAAAATGATGACATTGACCTTAAAGTCAATAGGATTATTCCTCATCCCCAAGGTGACCTCATGGGCTATGAATTGTGAGTAAAATCTGCTGTTTAAAGCTCTAGTTATTGAGCCAAAAGTAAATATCTACAGACGATAGAACAGACAATATCATTGCCATATCCCCCCCCCCCTCCAAACCTTTTAAAATATAAAAATGAAAGAAATTATCCAAAAACTATTGAATTAACCATAGTACATCACAACACTTGCACCATCAAATGCCAATAGCAGAAAGATTCGCTTAGAAAATCAGCAAAATGTTATATGATTAGTATGTTGGATTCTTGTGAATATGGGGTAAATTTAAAATTCAGAAAATGGGATAGAAAAACTATAGAAGTTTTAACACAAATATTAATTTTTACAACACAAATCATATTTCAATTAAATGAGAAATTTTATGATCAGATTGAGGGAATAAGTATGAGCAGTCCATCACCTGTTCTAGGTAACATCTTTATGAACATGCTTGATTATACAGTTAAAAGTATGGTTAATCTAAGGATATGCTTTTTGGTCAGATATGTTAATGATACATTTGCTGGCTTTGTTTCTGGACAAATGGTTGAACATTTTTTAGTATTTTTGTATTCACTACACCATAAATTAAATTTATCCATGAGAATAAGAATAAGGGTGAGTTATCTTTTCTCAATGTCATGGTTAATAGGATTAATAATGCTTTTAAAATGAAGGCATTTAGAAAAGAAACACATACTGATCTTTATTTGTATTGGTTGTCAGCTCATCACAAATCCAAAAAATATGGATTATAAAACCTTTATTAGTTATTGCAAAAACTAACTGCAGTTCAAAAGAAGGGCTCGATAAATAAGTACATTATCTGGAAAATGTATTGGTGAAGAGGAATGATTATCCTATTAGTGTGGTTAGAAAATACTTAAGAACTGATAGGTTGACAGAAAAAAAAGAAGAAAAATTCATTCTGATGATTTGGTTTATTGCATAATTCCTTATCAAATACAATAAAAAGACTTTGCAAAGAAATAGAAACGATGTATAAACTTCCAATTGTAGGTATATTCATTCTTTTACCAGGAAATAAGTTGAATATAATCTTAAAAAATGGAATTAAACCGACTACCATTGAGAAAGAAGTAGTTTACAGTGTAGAATGTTAGGACTATAATAATCTATATATGGGAGAGACTGGTGGAAATGTAAGTACTGTAACAGAACATGGACATACTCTATCACACGACTACCAACATTTTAAAGATACAGAACATTGTAGTGAAAATAAAATAAAAGAGCACCATTTTAATAAAGGAATGCAAACCTTTAATAAATGAAACAAGAGTAGGTTTATATTTATGCTAAGCAGAAGGTTATGTTTGTGATGTCACCAATTAAGTGTATTTAACTGTCGTGTACAACTATGTTGAGTACCTGATGATGCCACGTTAACAGTGGCAAAATGTTGTTTTTAAACAATATGTTTTTTCTATACCATTTTAGCTGTGTTTTTTTATTCTAAAATTCTATAGAGTGTGGGATACCTTCAACATTTATAATTATGGTGTAAATTTAAATAATGTGCTGAAAATCGGCTTGGTAAAAAATTTAACATTTTCCTACACTGAAAATGCATTTCCGATAGATATTTACACCTTCTCACAAATAGTTTTTCTCAACTTATACTTCCCTCTGTATGTGCAAATTTTCCCTCACTACTAGCCTTGATACTCCCACCTACATTTACATGTATTTACATGAGCCATGACATCTGCATGCTATCATGCAAATGATCCAGCCACAACACTTCACCAATAGGAGTGTGACACAATTCTAATCATCACTAGCACCCTCTCTTCCGTGCAGCCTGTAATCACTTCGAGACTGGGTAGTACATACAAAACCTACACTAGAAGTGGGGAGGTCAGGTGAGAAATGTAAGGGGAGGTAAATATCTATTGGAAATACATTTTCAGTGCATGAAAATGTTAACTTCCTATACCATATCTTACCTCTTCTCACAAATAGCTAGAATAACTCATTGAGTTGGCAGAGGACCCATTCAGAAGATTATCCCCCTTTAGAAAGCACCCAAAGGAAGACCATGTGGTGTGCAAATAAAATGTATCGCAATAAGGGCAGAATTACAGGTGGTTCAATGCCATTTACACTGGTAGAACACAATCACCCTACTCTCAACTGACTGGGATTGAGCACACTTATAAGGAAGCCTCCATGGTCCACATCCCCAGTGGCTAGGAACTGGGAAGTGGCAAGAACTCCCATAGAAGAAGGAGGAGGGAAACAATATGTTGGAAAGTCCAGAGGAATGCTGCACCAGAGACAGTGTAATGGGTGACTGTGACACCTTACTTAAAAAAGTAGACCAATCCAGTGACCTACAATACATGGATCATCAGGGATGAGAAAAATGCTTATCTGCTTTACTCATACTAGTCTATGAGTGTACGGTCCAGGGTAAACATCTTTATGAACCAAAATACTATGTGGAATACCTACAAGCAGTCTTGCAGAACACCCCATCCCAACAGTGGGCATTTTGACACACAGGTCTTATGGTGCAGATTTAAGAATAAGTATACCTGGGCAGGAAACACTTGCCACAAAGTGGAATCCTAATACACAAAATAGGGGCCCTGCAAAGAAAATGTAAAAAAAAGGAGCACTTACTCACTAATAGAGGAATCGCGAAGCATAAAATGCCAATGGAAGGAAAATGAAAACCCGTAGTACCATAAATGGCCAAGTGGTGAAGTTAACAATCAGTGGTGGTATGGATAATGATCCACCTACTGGCACAAATAATGTCCTCTAACAAATGATGGAAATGAGCAGTCTTGGACATGGTAAGGTGTCAGATTTTTTGTGAAGAGACATGGAAAAGATGACAAACATCAAGTGAAAGGGAAGACTAAGCCAGGCAAAGAAGCTGGCAAATCCAACCCATAAGAGTAATAAATAAACAGGAATGGGAACCATGGAAGGAAGCAGTGTGCATCACGTAACAGCAGAGAGCCCTGACTGAACAGAGGAGACTAGCAGAGTTGAAAAGGTCATAAAGGTGTGATAGAGAAGGAAGGGAGGTAGGTGTGAAAGCAGAATAACCTACCACATGGCCAAAGTTTTGAGCAGGAAAGAATGAGCAGAGAAAGGACTGCATAGGAACAGTGAAATATGGTGTAGTGGACATCAATAGCAAATACATCTGATCAACAATGTCTGCCCGCAACAGGAGGAGGAAATATTTTAACATACCTGATGGATTGAGTTGACAAAGGGAGGAGGAGGTCTGGACATCTCCCACAAAACGAAATGTAACTCTGAGGCATAGACAGGAGGAGGAAACAGGCTGCCCAAATCTTCATCCCTATATTCAGGCATACCTGCACATGGTATGAGATGACAATCATCAGGTGATACAGAAGACTGGATAAAGATAACCAATTCCCTTCAAACCAGAGCCGTTACTTCCTGGGACAATAAAGCTTGCTCTGATGCCACTGAAGTGACATGAAGATCAGCTGTAGTAATCACAACAGCAGTGGTAGTTGTGATATGGAAATGCAAGATCATTACGAGTGGATTTAGCCACGAAAAAAGAGAAGTGAAGCTCCAAAAACAATTCCAAAACAGTAAAAACATTGAAAAATATGGTTTAAAAAACCTAGAAAAAACAACAACAAAGCCTTAAATAATATTCAAAACTTCAGCGAGAAAACTTATGAAACTATTCAATGAAAACAATCAGTAGAATAGCACAAGCGAAAATACATCCAAGCAATATGACTGCCAATCGAGAAGTGATTACGGACTGAACAAAAGAGAGGGCACTAGTGACAATAGCAGTTGTGTTACACTCCTATTGGTGGAGGGTTGCTGCATGATCATTTGCATGATAGCATGCAGATGTGTCACGTGAATACATGTGAGAATAGGTGGGAGTATCAAGGCTAGTGGTGAGCAAAAATGTGCACATACGGAGAGCAGTATAAGTCAAGAAAAGCTATTTGTGAGAAGAGATGGTATTGGAAACCAAAAAGTTTGGTAATAAATAGGATTATTGGAATAAGGAAAATGTGACAGTGGAATCTCTCATAGGTATAGTTTGGATTACTGTGATATATTTAAATTGCTTTATGATACAAAGATTCTGGAATGGAGTGTATTTCTGTTACTAAGAAAAACCTCAAAGTACCAGGTTACTATGTAGAAAACGAGTTTCAAAGTTTAAAGTTGGAAAATAATGCACAACTCTGGGTGTACTGAAACTAGGAAAGGAGAAGCTTTTAGTATAAAATGAACTTTGATGTTCTTTAAAATGGGAAAGATTTTGGTGCAAATGTTAAAAGAGATTGAAGCTTTAAGTTTATTGCTTAAATATGCTTAATTTGAAATTAAAATAAGATAATGTAACTTTGAAAAGAAGATAAAATTATCCAATCAATTTCTTTAAAATTTAACTTTTCTATAAGAATAAGTCGACTTCTACTGATGTTATAACTAATCTGAGTGAAAAACTGGTTTTATCTACTTTAAATCTGATCTAAAGTCCTGTAGAAAGGCAAATACACATCTTTTTTTTTTCCTCCCCCTTTTCTTTCAGGACTCTCATATGATCTTAAACACACTATATTTTCACCAGCCCCTAGGACATAACTTATTTAATAAGACTTCAACCAACTTCT